ACTGACTTCAAATTTATATTATTGTTTTTACTGAATTAAAAACGCTCACTAGGGTCTTCTTCTCACCTCTTAACCCCTTTGGATGGAATTAGCAGTACGATGAAGGGAAATGCCCCAAGGAACCACCTTCTTGGGGTCTAAATATAAGATGCAAGCTGTTAGATTTTTGCTTAGTTATGGTACTGACCCAACACTTTTATTCATACTTGTGGTAATAGCAGATTGGGAGAGTTAGGTTATACATTTGAGAATATTCTTTTTTTTTTTTTTCCTTTTTTTCGTGACCGGCAACGGATCGCAACCCTCAGTGTCGCGCCCGTACCGGACAGGGACCGGCCACGGGATCGCAACCCTCGGTGCTGCTCCCGCCCCTCGCTCAGCCAGTGAGCGGCCAGTCTGCATGTGGGATCCGAACCCTCGGCGGGAACGCCACCGCGCTTCCCAAGCGGCGCACTACAGCAGTGCGCCACCAGGCCGGCCCCAGCACCATTTCTTGAAAGTACTCTTTCTCCATTGAATTGCTTTTGCTCCTCTGTCAAAGATCAGATGACAATATGTACATGATATATTGTGGGCTCTCTATTCTGTTCCACTGATCTATTTGTTTATTCTTTTGCCAATATCACACTGTCTTAATTACTGTAGCTTTATAGTAAGTCTTAAAGTCAGGTGATGTGAATACTCCAACTTAGTTCTTCTTCAGTATTGTGTTGGCTTACTCTGGGTGTGAAAAAGTAATAAAAACATATGTAAAATCTACTACTGGTTCCTAAAACAAAGCTACCAAAACCCTTGTAAACAGAGGTGCTAGGAGAATCTTTTGTTCTAATATTTGGTCCTTGACCCCAGTCCTTACACGTAACTCCTAATCACTTGGAATTTCCTGGGTTATAGGAGCATCTCTTGTTCTAATGAGGCAACTCTTGGTAAGCTACTGGATGGGGGCTGGTCACCAGAAAGACCAAGCCGTGATTAGAAGTTTGGAACTTTCAGCCCTACCCCCATCCCCCAGGGAGGGAAGAGGGGCTGGAGATTCAGTTAATATGTCATGTCTACATGTTTACATGTTGAAATCTCCATAAAAATCTCTAAAAGATGGGGTTCAGAGAGCTTCAATCCTGATGAAATATCCACATGCCAGGAGGGTAGTGAAACCTAACTCCATGAGGACAGAAGTTTCTGTGCTTGGGACCCTTCCTTACCTTTCTCTACGTATCTCTTCATCTGGCTACTCACCTGTATTCCTTGTAATATCCTTTATAAAATGTAAATGTTTCCCTGAATTCTGTGAAGCATTCTAGCAAATGATAGAACCTAAGGAGGGAGTTGTGGGAACCTCCAATCTACAGCTGGTTGGTCAGAAGCACACATGACAAGCAAGACTCGCAATTGGCATCTGAAGTGGGGGACAGTCTTGTGGGACTGAGCCCTTAACCTGTGAGGTCTGTGCCAAGTAGATAGTGTCAGAATTGAATTGAACTATAGGACACCCAGCTGGTGTGTAAGAATTGGTGAGTGTGGGAAAACCCCACACACATCTGGTATCAGAATTGAAGTTCTAGAAGTAGTGAGAAGAAAACAATTTGTTTTTCCCTTTACACTAGGACTTTTGCCTTTCGTATAAACTTTAGAATCACGTTGTCAATAGCCAAAAANATCAGAATTGAAGTTCTAGAAGTAGTGAGAAGAAAACAATTTGTTTTTCCCTTTACACTAGCACTTTTGCCTTTCGTATAAACTTTAGAATCACTTTGTCAATAGCCAAAAAATAATTTGCTGGGATTTTGATTGGGATTGTGTTTAATCTGCAGACCACATTAACAACTAATATCTTAACAATATTGAGTCTTCCTATCTATAAACACAAAATATCTATTTATTTAGATCTTTGATTTCTTTTATCAGAGTTTTATAGTTTCCCTTATGCAGATCTTGTATGTATTTTGTTAGATTTATTTTGAAGTACTTGTTTTTTTGGTGCTAACATAAATGGTATTGTGTTTTAAATTTTAAATTTCAGTTGATCTTTGCTGATATATAAGAAAGCAATTGAATTTTGCATATTAATCTCATATCCTGCAACCTTGCTATAATCGCTTCTTAGTTCCAGGAGATTTTTTGTTGATTCTTGGGATTTTCTACATAGACAATCAGGTCATCTGTGAATAAAGACAGTTTTGTTTTTTCCTTCCCAATCTATGTATCTTTTATTTCCTTTTCTTATCTTATTGCATTAACTAGAATTTCTAGTATAACGTTGAATAGGAGTGGTAAGAGGAAATATCTTGCCTTGTTCCTCATCTTAGTGGGGAAAGCATCTAGTTTCTCATCATCAAGGATGATGTTTGCTGTAGGGTTTTTTTGTAGATGTTCTTTATCAAGCTGAGGAAGTTCCTCTCTATTCCTAGTTTGCTGTGAATCTTTTATCATGAATGGGGATTGGGATTTTGTCAAATGCTTTGTCTACATCTATCGATCTGATCATACAGTTTTTCTTCTTTAGCCTGTTGAGGTGGTAGATTACATTAAATTATTTCAAATGTTGAACCAGCCTTGATAAATCCCAGTTAGCTGTGGTATATAATTCTTTTTATACATTGTTGAATTTGATTTGCTAATATATTGTTGAGGACTTTTACATTTATGTTCATGAGAGATACTGGTCTGTAAAGTTGTCTTTTTAAAATATAAACAGGTTGAGAAATCTCACAGCTATCAGTAAATTATAAGTGGTAATTAGTTTAATCAGATTATTGTTCTTCTGAAACTTAAAATTATATCAATTGTGATGAGACAATATTACTGATCAGAGAGTGAGAACATGGAATAATTAGGAATTAAGGCAGGCTCTAGCCAGATGTAGCACCTCAAAAGCATGAAAAGCTACAGTTTATATAGTACTACTTTCCTTAGCTTTTAAGTTATGAACCAGAAGAGGGAGAAGAATCAGCCCAAGAAGAGAAAGAATAGGATATCTGAATGCCTGAAAAAAATTATTGTCCCCTTTAATAGGTTTTATAAGCTACAGTAGCCTTGTCTGAATTTTAACTTACAGGTAATGTGGTCTAAGCCCCAGGTTCAACAACTTGTGTACTATCTTATGAGTCAGGGATGGTAAGTGATGGAGTTTGGATGTGTTGTCCCTTCCAAAACTCATGTGGAAATTTGATCTCCAATTTGGCAGTGTTGGAAACTGATTGAGTCATGCGGGCAGATCCCTCGTGAAAGGATTAATACTCTCCCTGGAGGAGGGGGTAGTAATGAGTGAGTTCTCACTCTATTAGTTCCTCCCTGGAGGAGGGGGTAGTAATGAGTGAGTTCTCACTCTATTAGTTCCCGTGAGAGCTGATTGTTTAAAGGACCCTGGCACCTCCTCTCTCTCTCTCCCTCTCTCTCTTGCTTCCTCTCGCCATGCAATCTGCCTATACCCACCTGCTGCCTGCCGCTCTCTGCCATAAGTAGAAGCAGCCTGAGGCCCGTGCCAGATGCAGTTGTCCCAGAATCGTAAGCCAAATAAACCTCTTTTCCTTATAAATTACCCAGTCTCAGGTATTCTGTTATAGCAACATAAAATGGACTAAAACAGTAAGGTTCTGTCATGTTAAAGCTTTTCTCTACCCAGGCCTGCTCCTCCAACAAAAATCAACTCTTCATACACCTTCACTATTGTTCTTTCCACTACATCAAGTAAACAAACAAACAAAAAAGGCAAAAGAGTATCTTATTTATTTGCTTTTTCAGGGAGCAGTCTACAAATTGCTTTGGTCTTTTTTTTTTTTTTTTTTTTGGCAAATTGTCTAAATGGCTCAAAATTGAACTTCTGCTGGAATAAATCTGGAATAAATCCAACGTGGCTGGGGGATGGAGGACAGTAAGACCTGAGGGATGGTAACCAGCTGTCCTGTGTCTGAAAGGGTCAAGAGGGGTTTCACCTGTGGGCAGAGGGTGTTTGGAAGAGGAATTAGAAAGTCATGAGAAGCCCTGCCCATCCTCTCTGGTGACAGTTCTGCTGCCATCATCCTGTGATGTCATCAGCTGTTGGCTTAAGGCTGAATGGTTGAATACATGCAGAGGGTATGCAGATTGGTACCCTCTGAGTGTTCCCCAAACTAACAGCAACTTAAACAATATGAAGTGCGTTGAGTGTATTTTGAGGTTAATGCTGACAAAAAAGAGAGAGAGAGAACTGATTCACAATGTGGAAGTCTCAAGAACTCTTCAGAGAAAGTGAGTAGTAACAAGGGAAAGGAAAGCTGTGCAGTTTCAAATGTGCTTCACTTTAAGAAAGGAAATTTTAAAAATAAAATAAAGGGAATTTCAAAAAGTTTACAGAAAGCACAAGAGAACAAGTTAGTATATCCTAATAGCTACAGTCTCTGGAAGAAACTTCACTGGAAAGCAAAGTAGTTGGCAATATCTGAAGAAATTTCTGGTTTCCCAGGTAGCTCAGGTTTTAAAAGGCCACTACCACCACCACCAACAAAAAGGAGCAGATAACTAAGTAGGAATACACAGAAGTGGGACAAAACGCTGCCCATGAATACACACTCTTTCTTCTTTCACTGCTCTCTGTCCTCTCAGAGCTTTCCAGGTTCACCCCTCCTCTACAAAGCCTTCTTCCCCAATCCTGATTCACATTGTCCTCTCCTCTTTCCCAACTCTATGTACTTGGCAATTACTCATGGACTTCTTTGCCTCCCTGATTCAACTTTAAGCTGAGACACTACAGGGCCCATGTCACACATATTTTGGTGTCCCCAGAGTGCCGATAAACTGTGCCTCCTAAAGTGTAGATGACAAATAAACATGTGCTGAGGGAGTCAAAGAAGCCAACTGGAAATCAATGTTTTTAGATGAAAAGAGACTAGGGTAGGTGTAAAGAACACAGATTTTGAGCATGCATTGTAAGTTGTACTAATACCCAATTCAATTCAAATCAATTATGTAACAAGTAGAATGAACAGGCATAGTCACCTGAAATCTCAAAAATAGCACAGTACCTGCAGGAGACTTTCTACGGCATGAAAGCCTCGAATTAAATTCAGAGCTCCACATAAAAGACTAAGGATAAATGCCACAATCCCTGACAGACTCACTGGCTCCAGTCGCTGGTGAGCTGGAAAATAAAAGAAATAGTTAGAAATGAACACCAATATCTCACATAGCTGAACTCATGTAAAACAGAAATTCACTGCTCAATTTCAATAGGTCAAATATAGATTAATCTTCATAAAATTATTTAACAATATATCTTAGTAATTAAATATTCTTTTAAAATGTAAAATACTTGGTGATATAAAAGCTTCATTCCCCTGAATTCAAATTAAATGAACTTCTTTTTCTCTACATTTTTAACAAAGACATCTAACTTGAATTTGGGACAGTGCTAAAAGTGCTCACATATAGCAGTAAATCATTTAGGAGAAAGCCTTACTGCTTAAATATATCTACTATTTGCAAGTAGGTGCAAATATCTGCAAAAGTGACTTTGCTTGGAAATTCATTGTATAATTCCTACTTTTTCCAAAAATGCTTAGAAAACATTTTTAAGGACAAACATAGCTTGCTTTTAAGCACAATGCTCCTTTACGTGGGTTCCAGGGCTATAAATACTACTGGATATATGTGTAAGCTCATAAATAATCAGCAATCTAAACACCACAACAGAATGGAGTCTTATAGCTATAAAATCCCTGGTGCTCTGAATACTACTTGAAGGTAAAAATTATAAAACACCAGCTGAAGTGACCATTTTATCTTTGCAAATACATTCCCTTATCTTTCAGGACTTCAGCAGCATAAGACATTAAGTTATACAATACCTTCCCTTCATCATCATCTTACACTCAATAGAATTAACAATGGAGTCTAAATGAAAACACAAAGCTAAATACATAATCATCTAGACCTCAAAAGGGAGACAGAGGGAAACAGATAACAACAGAATCATATTTATATTATTTTATTTAAATCACTGAAGTGTAAAAGCCCTAACAATAAAGTTAATGAGGTGGAACATTAATATAATGAAGGGCTTGAATCTTTGCAACCTATATTCAGCCATTATAGCAGAAAAGCTTTCCTAAACATTTTTTAAAAACACAAAAAGCCACATATCACAAAAAAAGTATTTATTACTTAAGTTCAACAGAAAATGCTAATATGAGATAACATTTTTTAAAATTTCCATTGTGCCCAAGCTGACTGCTGCCTGCCCTCTCAATCAATTTCTTTGAGATTTTAATATGAAAACAGAAAATTAAATGTCTTTGTAAAGTATTGATACCAAGTTTTATATCAGTAGAGGGAAAAAAATCTCATAATTTCAAAATCTATCCAATTGAGTCATGTTTTTCAGCCTCTTTCCCTCCCTTCCCACCCCTCTCAGCAGTAAAGGAAAACTGGCCTCTAATAAAAATCCTTAATATAGGCCTCAAGAATAAAACCACCCAACAACTGAATAGATTATATAAATCACACTTCTGAAGTACACAAAACAAGTTTACCTTAATTTTCTGCATTAAAACTAAAAACCTCAGCTTTTTCTGGTCAAGTAACATGTGGCCATTCTTCAACGGAAAAATATTACCACTTTAATGTGTTGATGAATATCTACTTAAGAAATGAATAATAAGTTTATATAAATTAAATATTTATTATTGAGTTTCCAACATTTGCCTCTTGGCCTTAGAGCACTCTCTTTACAATGAGAGTAAACCAATTATAAATTAATTATTTCAAAAATATTTTTAAAGGCATAAAAGCAAACGATAAGCCTCCTTTAACAAGATATGCATTGTGCTGAAGGACAGGCTGGCACTGCACCAAATCACTGTGGGAAAGACAGATTCTCCCATTTCCACCCCACCCCCTTCATAGGACCTGTGGCTTGCGTTTTGAGAACAGTTATCAAAAGAAACCTCCATCTAAACATAAGAGGGTGATACTTCTTAAGGACAATTTCTCATTTTAACAAACTAAACTAGATATTTAACCAAATTTTAATGTATTACAGATTTCCGATCCAGTATTATCCCAAAATGCTTACTACACACTTCAACTTGGCACCACACTAGGCACTATTACATGTACAGTACATTTAGAACAATAAGAAATGAGAGGCAGTATAGAAAAAATAAAAGCAGTGTCACCTGGTCAGTTTTTGTTTTGTTTTTGGTATTGTTGTCTTCTGCTACAATGTCTTTTCATTAGTCTCCTTGAATGCAATATTGGCATGTTCATAACAAAATTAAATTTTTCTCAAAATGTACCAATGATTTATGGAGGGTTTGCAAAAGTTTCTAAAAAAGTAAGAGTAAATCCCTTGGAACCAAAGGGATTTTGGTTATAGTAAATTAATATATTTATTCAGCAAATACTTTTGGGATGATTCTGTGTAAGATGCTATGCTTTAGAAGATACAAAATTGAATTACACAATCTGCCTTCAAGGTGCTTCTAGTCTCTTTTAAAGGAGATGGACAGACAGACGAGCATATGAAAGTAATAAGCATTCTAAGCTTTAGCTTTAGCTTTACCTTTTAAGAGGTACGGAATGGTGAAGTGGAAAGATCTAGGTAGGGAGAAATGATGATAGGAATCAGGGAAGATCTTGAAGATGGACAAAATGCAGTCAGGTACAAAGGGAAAGAACATGAAGGTGGAGATGAAAATGGGAGAAACTAATAACAGCATCAACAACTTCTATTCCTACCTCTACTACTCCTAATAGTGACTGCTCTCAATGAGCCAGGCACCAAGTGCTTTATATACATGATCTCATTTCATCCTTCCAACAACCCAGTGCAGTAGGCACTACAAATATCCTGTTTTGTTTAGGAAGATTAATTAATCTGGCCATGGACACAATATAAATAAGTGAAGTAGGATTTAAATCCAGGTAGCCTGATTCTGGAACTCATGCTCTTAACCACTCTGTTACAGGGTATTGCTAGTGGTTTTGTTAGGCTCAAGGGGAAGTTTGTGAAGAGTAGGGAGAAATAAAGTCAGAATAAGCCAGACTATTTTTAATAAAACATTTTCAGAAAAGTGGTTGAAGGCAAAATTCAGACTGAAAAAGGTTAAACAACTGGTCATGGTAAAAGGTGAAAGCGTAAGTGAATATTACTGCAGTTAAAGGAGAGAAAAGCATAATGGAAGTTTAACAGAGAATTGAGAAAATAATTATTTTTTCCCCCACAATGTGGAGGCAGGGGAGAAGGAAGACTTGAATACGTTTATAAGTGGAACGAAATAACTCAGTGAAGAAGAAATAGGAGGGTACTTCAAAAAGTTCGTGGAAAACAGAATTAAAAGATAATATGAATTTTTCCATGAACTTTTTGAAGTACCCTCATAGAAGAGTCAAGAAAGAGGAAAAATGATTGATGAAGCAGAGTACCAGAACAGTCATTGTGAGGATTTAAAAAGATGGTACTGGGAGATTCTAAGATGGCGTCGGGTCTGAGCGGCCGCGCCAGGAGACAGCGCGATCCTGTGAGCCATGCGCTGTGATACCAGAGTATTGATTGCATTTCCAAGAGCAGCAAAAGGCGAATAAATCTTTCAACAACGATCCTACATCGACAAACAAGCGACAGCAGGTTCGAGGTTTTGGGGCCGACACAGAAGAGGTCTCCTGAGAGCGCCCAAGCCCGGCTGCGGGAACGAACGAGCGATCAGCCCATCAAAGGCAAGGAAAGCCAGCAAAGGATCCCACAAAGGCAGAGTGAAACCTGTCAGACTGCCACAGACCCGCGACCTCGTAAGTCACCCCCAGTCCAGCCTCACTTGCGGGGAGAAGCCCGACTGCTCCCCGCCCGCCTGGCCCCCGCCCACCACACCAGGCTAAGCGCCCACATCAAAGCGGCCTCCATTCTCTCGGGTGGGGGAAAAAAAAAAAGAAAAAAAAAAGGGCCGGCTTAGGGAGGGCAGGTCAGCCATCTCTGTTTGGCGTGGCT